AATTAATAATAATTTTAAAAGTATTTTACTGTCATCTGTTTTCTTGAGAAGGTGCCCTGATGGTATCATGGGTTATCTATTGGGTTGATAACCACAAGGTCAGCAGTTCGAATCCACCAGTTACTCCACCGGAGAAAGATGGGGCTTTCTGTTCCCATAAAGATTTGCAGTCTCAGAAATCCTATTCAGGGTCACTATGAGTTGGAACTGATTTGATGGCACACAACCATCACCACGTTCCTGAGATGATGTACAATTTATTTGTATGGTGAAAATCTATACTGAGGTGCGTGTTCAGGTCTTTTCAATTTTGTATTCAGTGAGTTCATGTTGGTAGCTTAAAATTAAACATGCTAAGAATATTTACCTCAAATATACTAGCAAATATCTCAGACAGGGGCTCCATTTTCCTAAACAGCTAGTTATTTACTTTTTCCATCTAGCCAATGGCTACATGCATGGGTGCTTACAGAAGTCAAATGAAAGTTATGACTACAGATTGTGATTAATCTGTTATAAGGTTTTGAATGCTGGCTACAAATAATATTTTACTAAAGTATTGACTTCCATTTATGTCTCCTCATTTGGCATAAATGTTACTTGAAGATATAGTGTATGGGTCAGAGCAGGGCATAAATATATATTTCATTGAATAAATGCTTAGTAAATAAGTTTTGTCATAAAAACTTTAACTATAACTAATTTAATGGTCTTACTAACACATACACACATTCTGAGAGTTTTAATACTCTTTACACACCTAAAAGCTGATATTCTTTTAAAAATGCAGAACATAGCAGATGAGATTTTATATAACTGACATGATTTAGATAGACTTCATTTACAATAAATCATCTGGCATGGCATGAACAAATGTTGATGAAGAAATAAAGTGTTAATGGAATTTCACTGAGAATTAACATTCCTGATATTAATACTAAGACTTGACATGAAAATAGAACTCTGTTTATTATAAATTAACTTATTTTCTTTTTGTACCACTACCTCATATTTAAGGAGCTCCGGTAGTGTAGTGGTTATGAATCGGGCTGCGAACCGCAAGGTCAGCAGTTGGAAACTACCAGCTGTTCTGCAGGAGAAAGATGAGGCTTTCTGCTCCCGTAAAGATTTACAGCCTCGGAAATCCTGTACAGGGTCGCTATGAGTCAGAACCGACTCCACAGCACATACCAACAACAACAACAACCTCATATTTATTCTAAAAGTTCTTGGTCCAAAGCAACTTAAATTTACAGGATTAATATGTTAGCTCACTTAAATTTTAAGTACTTCTAAAATGATCTCTTGATAAATTCAAAACTTGAAGGAGAATACAGGTACCTCTTTTAAAAATCATGTTCACATTTTTACCTGTTTCTAATTTATCATTACCTTTACACAGCTGACTGATATCGTCAGGTAGAGTTAAATCTGCACATCGCAAAGAAGATGAAAACAAACTAGCAGGCTTGATAAAAGGAGTATATAAAGGTGACACTTCACTGAATACCTCATCCTGCATTAATTCACCAGGAGTTGGCCTTGAGAAATACAATTAAAATACAGAACATAAATGAAGGGCGTTAGCAATTTCCTAGAATAATGGTGTACATTCAAGGGAATAGGTACATCTATTAAGTAATCTCATTAGCACAGAAAATAATAAAGCTCTCCAGAGTGGAGTCTAGATGAAAACTTAACACACTGATTTCAAACATTATATACCTAAGGAGTTTGGGAACAATTGCATGATCAACAGTGACATCATCAAATGAAAATAAATTAAGACTTTTATGAAATCTTTTATCAATAACTGTCAGTTTACCTCACCATTCATCATTAACATTGCTCTTATATTGTCACTTCTATTTAGAAATATCTATATTCTACAGTTGAACTGATGCTTTATCTAGAGGCTAGGTAAAAAAAAACAAAGCAATTTAATTTCAGTTGGTATATGCCAATTTTCTGACCATGTTTTAACTTTATTTTTTTGTTGTTGCTATAAACATAAAATTAAAACCTCAAAATCACAATTAATACTTACAGTACTTATGTCAAATATGTGCTACTATATCCTATGTAAATATTTTATTTAACCCATTGATATTATAATATGAAAAAACAATCTACTTCTTATATAAGGATTTCAATGTAATCCCAAACTCTTAATATTATCAACCTCTTAGAAGGATGGAAGGTAAGGCACTTCTTCAGAAGATTTATCACATTTTCAGGAAGTTCCTGGTAAGTAAAAAGAGAAATAAATTATTTTAAATAATCCATTAAAAAACACATTGTACCTAATTCTGCTACTCTATGAAGTTTTGATTATTTTTAAAAGTCTCTTTAAAATTATTAATATAAGTTTATCTGTGAAAAAGCAAATATCTAAGTACAAATAAGATTGTTTTAATATAGCTTGCTATTATTATTACTATTCACAATAGCAAAAAGATGGAAACAGCTTAAATGGCCATCAACAGAAGAATGGTTAAACAAACTGTGGGAGAGTTGGAAGCAGGAGGGAAAAGCATTCATGGTCTAGAGGATACACACATGTTAACATGGGTGATGGGGCAATGTCCAACAAGAGGGAGGTTGGCAGAGGAAAGATGAAGGTAGCAGGAGACAGGGAGGAATGCAATAGTTAAAGTGCATAGAGGTTAATACTGTTGACTGACATTGGGTGGAGGGAGTTGCAATCACTGCAATGAACAGTATATGATTTGTTGCCAGTAAAAATGATGACCAATTCTGTAAACCTTCACTCAATTCACAATAAACAGTTTTTTGTGTTTTTTTAAATGAGGTTGTTTGGGATCGTAAGTATACAAAATTTTTGTTAACAAATTAATGACAAACCTTTATAATGTCCAGACAACCATGCTCTTCTGCCAGAACTATTACAGTGTCATCTACACAGTCTAAAACAAAAAAGAAGCATCTAAATTAATGGTGTTCTTCTAATCTATTAGATTAACTTGGATGTGAAAACGATCAAATTTATTCAATGGTATAATGCAGCACTGAAATTTGGAATATTAAAAAGCTCCTAATGTTGTTAACTTTCTAATAAAATATTTTAATAAAAATAAAGACCTCAAACACTAAATAGTAATTCAATCAGAGATTCTGAAAGATGCTGTTGTAGTTAGGTGCCATCCTCACAATTATTGTTAAGCTTGAGACCATTGCTGTTGCCAATATGCCAATAAATCTCACTGGGGGTCTTGTTCTTTTTTGCTGACCCTCCACTTTACCTAACATGATTACCTTCTCTAGGGACTGGTCATTACCGATAATATGTCCAAAGTATTAGGGATAAGTCTGGCCATCCTAATTTACAAAGAACATTCTGTCTATAAATCTTCCAACACAGATATATTTATTCTTCACACAGTCCATGTTACTTTTAATATTCTTCTCCAAAACCATAACTCAAATGTATCAGTTCTTCTATGGTCTTCTTTATTCTAACTTTCACATGCATATGAAACTACTGTAAATAACATGGTTGGGTCAGGTGCACCTTAGTCCTTAGACATCTTTGAATACTTAAAAGAAGTCTTGTGTAGCAAATTTGCCTAATGCATTACATCTTTTGATTTCTTAACAGGTGCTTCCATGAGTGTTGATAGTAGCTCCAAGCAAAATGAACACTTTGACCAATTCAATCTTCTCTTCAATT